GCAGTTCACCCCACATGGTCACCTCGTGAGCCAAGTCCAGATATTTTGTTCGCTTATCTATTTCGGCTTTCACGAGGTTCTCGTCATACGGAATGGTAATGTCGACCAAAAATATCCTTGACTTGCCCGGTCCATCAGCACAATATCAGGCTTATTCGCAAGAATGGTCCTGTCTGTGATGATGGCCCGGTCCCAGTAGAGCCTGGCGCGGTCATTTTCAAGCACGACTTCCGGCATTTACTTATAATAAGGTAGTTTCCGATCCACGAGACCGTATTTCAGAGCGAGCTCCTGGTGTAGAATCCTGGCTACTAGGTTGTGTCTATGTAAGTACTCAGACTTAGAAAGCACCGAAAAACCGGAGATGACATGCCTAAGTGATTCACCGGGATGGCGACAAGCTCGACAAATGTCGACGGTGCCATCCCTTAGGATGTATCTCCGATAGTTGTTGGTCTTAATAACCTGATCCTGTATTGCACAGACAAAACCCTCGGTTTCCCCGAAGAGCTCACCAAAACGTAGCCAGTGGATGGAGGCAACTGTGTCTACGAAAGGCTCATGTAGAGCCTTGTAGAACCTCCCGTGGAGCTCCTTCTCCTTCCATACGGTCTTCCGGTCGGAAATGCTCTGTACTGCCGGGTCTTGCCATTGCTCGTTGGCTAAGGATAGAGGGGTAAGTCCTTTATCACAAAAAATCACGTCCCTATAGAATGGATCATCCGCTCTCGCCAGAAAGTAATTACGGAGGCTGCACACTTCGCGATTATGAATGGTAAACGCGCTTAAAAAGCCGCGTCCACCATGTTTCCGCGGCATGTACAGCCTCATTACCGACGATCTCGGATGATGCATCCTGTGGGACGTCATAATAGTGTGGCCTTTTCTATCCAGAGCGTTCAGTTCGATCTGAGTCCACCTGAGTATGCCAAATGTATACATGAGAACAGGCATGATCCAACCATTATATGCGTGCGTCTTATTAACGCCCGACAAAAGACTGTTACGCACTTTTGTCAAGCGTGCATAAAACACACCGCAAACTGACTGCCTCATGTCCACCTCATCGACACCTATGTTCTGTGACATTCCCAGGTATCGGTATGTTTCAGCCTCGGATAGGGTCTTTATGTTGACGCTTTGCTAAATCTGAGGGCATAGACTTGTCTATGCCCTCAGATTTAGCAACCCTTCCCCCTTCGACATGGAGGACCTCACACTTATCCGTCCCTAGCTCCATTCTAATAGAATTGCTAAAATCACAAGTGATGTTTAGCAATTCCATAAGATGAGAGCGACTGGAGGCGAATAATTTGACTTCATCCATATAGAAAAGGTGGGTCACTTTTGTGCCTCCTCTCCGAAACTGAAATCCCTTGCCGGAACCTTCCAGTAAGGTACTGAGAGGGTTCAGAGAGAGGCAGAACCAGATTGGACTCAAACAATCGCCCTGGAAGATACCCCTTCTTATCGTTATGTGGCACTCCGCAGCCGTCATCCGCTTGCCTAGATGACAAAGTATCGTACTCCACTGCCCCATACACTGCCCGAGGAAGTCTCGAACTGTTCAGTTAACCTTGTACAGCTCGAGGACCCTCTTAAGCCATGTATGAAGCACTGAGTCGAATGCCTTTTTGTAGTCTATCCAGGCGGCGGAGGTTTCGACGGTTGCGTTTAACCACCTTGCCAATGACCGCGTCAATGTGGAGTGGTTCCTTGGTTCCACGACCACCGCCCATACATCCATTCTGAGCGCCCGATATCACCTTATTTGAGTTCAGGTGACGAGTGATTCTCGCGCTCAAAATGGATGTTAGTGTCTTGTATATCGTGGGTAGACACGTGATGGGGCGGTATTTGCTCGGATCTGTGGTATCCTGATCTTTAGGAACCAAATGAGTGATCCCAGTAGTGAAGAGGCTCGGGAGCGACTTCTGGTCGAGAGTCTCTTGAAACTGTCGGGCGAGCACAGCGTGACACACCACGAACCCCTTCAGCCAGTAGTGATGCAGTCCGTCGAGTCCCGGACTTTTCTAGTTCGGAGCCCTACGGACCGCCTCGGCTACGTTATCCGGCGTTATGATGATGGGGTCCATGGGCGTAACATCCGCACACTGACTCGCCACAACTTCCGTCCAAGGGCCCTCGCTGTGGTTTACGGGCTCTGACCACAGGCCGCGCCAGAATGCGATATTGTCGGCCTGATTCGGTGCTGGGCCCGTTCCACGTACCATTGGTCGCTCCAATGATTCATAGAGCCTGGAAGAGACAATTCTGGTTGAACCGTGTCGACCTCTCGGTATATCGCCGAATCCTTCTTCCTTCCCCCAAGCAGCGATTCTCTGCTTCAGGTCGTCTATGCGCTCCGTCAGTTTTTGCGTTATATCCGGCTGGGACAAACTGATATTTGTCCCAGCAAACGCCATCCTGACGGTGAGCACAATTCTCGGCCTGTTATTGCCCGACCTGAAGCTTATCAGCCTGCCTATGAGGGCCCTTGCCTTTGCGATACGGTCCTCAATCCTTCTCCAGGCTGGGATGGCGCTACTTTGTCTAGTAGCGTGTCCAGCCGTGGGAAGCTTGGCGCCAATAATACGGCAAATTGCCAGTGCGGCGCCAAAAAGAATTGAGTCAGTCTCGCAAAGGTCCCGACTGGCTTCCAAATAAGTCACCAGAATTGGGTTGAGAGCCCTCACGACAGCCCGATTCCTCTTGCTTAGGGGTATGCGGGGAAGTCGCGGTCGATTTTCGAGAGGCGTACAGCGCGTTTCCACAATCACATCCTCCAATTTACTCCTCATCTGCTCTAGTTCTTGGGTGATCATTCCATTATCGCCTGAATCAACCAAAGCCGGAAGATCCATGGCGGCTTCCACATATGGCTGTTGGTCTATGACCTTAGGAGCCGCATTCCCAGCTATAGCTGGTTCATTCGATGAGGGAATAGCCTCACGCCGTAGTCGTTCGAGTTCGGCATCATCAAATATTTTCGAGCGTGTGATGTACCGAACTCGGTCTGCCAGGTTTTACTCTGTGACGGGAACAGACGGGTCCAGCTCAGCAAAAAAGCGATGCATCCGAGCCCGATACGCTATCCCTCCAGTTTCTTCCCCTTTCGCCCTATAGTACGCCCGCAATGATGCGTTTATGTTCATATATTTTGTCCAACGCATGCGGCGTACTCCACCAGCGGCGGGTGCCGCTTGCCGAGTCCGAGAGGACCCTGCCGACACCAAGCCGTCTGGTGGGGATGATGGATGCACAACCACCTAGCAGCACCTCGCGCTCGGCTGGCGGCCCGCATGCTGTCGCGTCCAGCGCCAGCTCCAGACGCGCCCCGGCGTCCCCCAGGCAGCGGCCCTATGCGCGTTCTATTTTTATCCATCGTCCATAAAATTGGGCGTCAATTAACGGGAGACGCCCAGGCCCGGCGCCGTTTAATAGTGTGGCCGTAAGCACAAATGGGCCTTTGCATCCTCAACACTGCCGAGGCACGGTGCTCACACCTCTTGGCAAGGCACTGACTGACTGCGCCGACGTAGCAGTTTTCTCACTTAACTGTTACGTCAGCGGGCGATGGGGTTGTCACTTCCCTACGCCATTTATTTTTATTATTATTAATGCTTCCAGGCAAAGTCCTTCACACTTCCTACTCTGAAGCGGTGGCACCAAGGCTGCATCTCCTCAAGGAAAAGTTTTATTCATCGCTAAAATCCAGTAAGGAGCGTTATGGCCGCCTCAGACAGCTGGCTGTGTTGGAAGCAGATCCCAAGCTGACTGAGAAGGTAGTTTAAACTTTCTTCATTATTTTTGGTATATCTCTTTGAGATTCTTCGACACCGTCTGATTGATAACTATTAAAGCTGGCATATATATGTGTTTTTCACAGAGAAGGCCCTTTTTACTGAAAAGAAGCAATCCATCTCAGTCCTCAAGGATGGTAACGCATCTGCATTTTGATTCTTAATTGAGGGTAGAGGAATAGCCTCTGATTCTACTATATTAGTAGTGTAGTTGTAGCACGAATGGGTCGGCTCGTCTGGGGAAGGACCACGCTCTCACAGAATACCAGCATAAAATAGCAACTTAATGCTACTATGTTTCATATGGTAAGTGTAGAAAACCGAAGACCCATTTTACTGGAAAGGAGATATTCTATTTTAGTCCTGCATTTAGTGACAATGCATCTGCATTTTGATTCTTAATAGAGGATAAATGTAGATGTCTATAGGCCACAGCATTCACTTACCTTCAGATGGACTGTGTGCTCGTTTGTCACCCAAGGTTTTTATGCCGTCCACTTTAATATAACTCCCAAGAGTTAGCGCTACAGCACATGTTTCTTTCATTACAGCCTATCGAAAGTCCACTGCTGAACATAGACCTCCCCATAGATTGGAATCTCCCCTTGTGGAGGGGATTCTGCCATAGTTGCCACGCTAGACAAGCATATTGGGCAATCATAGTTTCTATAATATTGAATTGCTATCGCGAAGATGCTGCAGCCCATGTCCTGGTTTGTTTCTCTGTCACCTCTTACGACACCCACACGTAACGATATGGAGTAATGGTTAAAACTGCAGCTCATACCGTTAAGCTAAGTTTAGTACGACAGTGGTTTTTGTAAAACCATAAGTGCCCAGGGAGAGCAGCCCATGCCCGCTGTAGCAAATAGCAGGCACCTGTGCGAGCCGTAGCCGGAGCCGCAAGGGCGAAGGGGCTGCACTCCTGCATCGCTGAAGCCGTTGCAGAAGTAACTTTGGGTCAATATTCCTGTGTAAAAAAAGTAATAACTCGTTTCAGAGATATCGATACTCAAATAGCGAGGTATCGATAAATTTTATTCTTACTTTTCGGTGTATATCGTCGAGATCTATGAGAATCCGCCTTCAAATCGTGGCGCCGTAAGAATCGTAGTCGTTTCAATTAGATCTATGATGTGAACATCAGCTAGGATGGTTCTTACATGAATCTTTAGTTATGTAATTTATTCTTTTAGAATGTCTTCGCTAATTTCGTACCAATTCAAATGTATAGTCGAGACACCGTTTATACTTGACGTCGTTAATACCACAGAAGACCTGCCGACTCCTCCATTAAAAGAGGATGAATATACGAAGGTTTTAGAAGAGAAAAAGAAGTCATTTGATGAAGAGCTTGAGGAGAACTTCAAGTTGTTGAAGAAAGGGTATATAAAACTTTCCAAAGAGTGTTTATGCTATACTCTAGTTATCTGTCTAGTATTTTCAGGACACGTGAGGTCTGCCTACATATATATCTTTTAGTATGATAAAGGAGACAAATGAGCACACAGTCCACCTGATGGTAAGTGGATGATGTGGGCGATAGTCATCTGCATCTATCCTCGATTAAGAAATAAAATGCAAAGGTGTTTTCACTCCTGAGGACTAAGTTGGAAAGCGTTGATTCCACTGAAAAGAGTTTCTGGTTTATTTTCACCATACAAAACCGCAGGGTTATGTCGCTATTTTATACTTTTATACTGTGAGAGCTTTCCCGGTCTAGCCGACCTATTCGTGTTACAACAATAATATAGCTGCAGCATGCCTCTACCACTTACGAAATCTGCATGCGCTTTGGCACTCTTCCCTGGTCAAAAATTCGTCTCAGTAATGAAAAGAAGGGCGGTTCCCATCAATGTACTCGTAGTATGTAGGCTGTCACCCAACTTTAACTATTTCAATCTTTATTCGTGTTTTTTTTTTCATAAAATAACAGTGATATACGTGACCTCTTATGGAAATACTGGTAGAACTAAGCTTCACTTATATTGCAGCACGAATAGGTCTGCTGAACCGGGGAAGGACCGCATTAGTAGAATACCATCGTGAATGAACGGTGAGTGATAAGAACAGGAGACCCTTTTTTGAATCTTAATGAATCTGCAATTTGATTTTTAATTAAGAATAGATGGAGGTGTCTATGGGCATAGTAGTTACTTACCATCAGGTGGACTGTGTGCTTATATGTCATCCTTATTTTTATTAAAAAAAAGTAAACTACGACCAGTCCAAAAATCTAAACCTCTCCAGAGAAGAAGCGGCAAATAAAATCTTGTTTGTTGACATTTTTTGTAGTGAATAATGTTACAATTAATTTTTCAACAGTAACATAAACAATATATTACAGATATTCTGATGAAGACGTGAATATCGCCAGAGCAGCGATGTCGAACATGATCGGCGGTGTGGGGTATTTCTACGGAGCGGGTCGGGTTCAATCCCCATACACACGAGAGCCAGTGCCTTACTGGCGCGCGCCGCTGTACACCGCAGTACCCAGCAGGTAGAGTAGCATACTGTACACATTGAATTGTTTAACTGGTAGAGCTATAAATTGCACACATTAAATGTTCTAACTGGTGACTTGAATTTTCTAAATTGTAGCTTTTTTTGGAACGAAGTTCCTTATCGGACGGTACGAATTTGACGGATGGGGTTAGGCGAGAAAAAGTGTAAGATTTTTCCGTCACGAAACCTTCTGACGTAATGTAGTGGTCAATGTGACGGCTATAAGGGAGTGAGATGGAATAATATCCATCTCCCTTTTTCTTATCTTGCCATAAATGAAATATTATATTAAATGCTTCATTTTAATAGACGCTAGTAATTCATTTATTTGTATTTGTTAATCAATAATGCAATACGTTTATCAATAATGATATACTACGAAAGGAACTTCGTTCCAACCGAGTGTTCCACGATACTCATTTCATTTATTTTAGCAACAAACAGTCATATTTCAATTACATAATTTACGTTTTGCACTTACATATTACAAATAGACCAAAGAGTGCCAAAACCTACATTAACTAACCATATTATTTATATTGTGAGTCAACATAGTCTGGCAACAATTCTACTGCAAAACCTTTTTTTAAATTAGTTTTAAGAAGATTAGAACTAGTGCTAAAAATATCTATTTCTGAAAAATGTTTGTTATACATGTTGGAGGAAGGACATATAAAAGAGTTACGCGTATAGTTTCTATGAAACCGAAGAGCAATGAATAGTGGTAAACGTAAGGAGCGCACAAGAAAACTAACACTTGCTGGAAACGAAATCATAAGAGTCGGTGAATCTATTAACGAATTTAGAATTTTATATAGAAGCATAATGTGAAACATGTTACATCCATTAAAAGTTACATACTTTGCACATTATATTGACCAACTGGTGGAGTTACATACTGCACACATTGAATTGTCAAACTGGTAGAGTTAAATACTGCACACAGTGAATTTATTTAATTGATGGAGTCTCATACTGCATACATTGAATTGTCAAACTGGTAGAGTTAAATACTGCACACAGTGAATTATCTAACTGATGGAGTCTCATACTGCACACATTGAATTGACAAACTGGTAGAGTTAAATACTGCACACAGTGAATTATTTAATTGATGGAGTCTCATACTGCATACATTGAATTGTCAAACTGGTAGAGTTAAATACTGCACACATTGAATTGTCAAACTGGTAGAGTTAAATACTGCACACAGTGAATTATTTAATTGATGGAGTCTCATACTGCATACATTGAATTGTCAAACTGGTAGAGTTAAATACTGCACACAGTGAATTATTTAACTGATGGTGTCTTATACTGCACACATTGAATTGTCAAACTGGTAGAGTTAAATACTGCACACAGTGAATTATCTAACTGATGGAGTCTCATACCGCATTCATTGAATTGTCAAACTGGTAGAGTCGCATACTTCATACATTGAATTGATTGCCTTGTTAGTCTAGTAGTTGTGGTAGTGCGACTGTTGATCATAAGGTACCGGGTTCGAATCCGTGGCCGGGCCCTTAAAAATCAGTTATTGAGTTTTTCCGTCAAGAAATTCTCAGTAACTGCGCGGAGTCAGGAAGTTGGCGTTGTCTCACCCCCGTGCCTTGGAAAGTACGTAAAGCCGTTGGTTCTGCGTATGATCTCTCTGCGATCGTGTCGGTTTACCAACCCATCGGACTATGAGAGTGACGGAATAGAGAGTGCACCTGTGCTTGCGCATACACTTGGGTAGTATAATCCTGTCCTGCGCCGATGGCTAGTCTCCTTTGATGGCTGGCCACCGTGACTGAAATTCGGCGTGGAGGACATTATACTTACATTGAATTATTATGTAGAGTTATACACATAACACTCATAGGGTATTACACCCATTTTCAAAAAGTGTTTTAAATGAATCCTAGAGTGATAATGAACCACTACAATTTTTACATAAATTTTTTAAAACCGAATAGTGACATAGAAATTACATTTAATTAATCTATCGTTTTAAATTTTCGCGTGAAAACGCTAACCGCCATACTGTTCAACTCGTGACGTCACTGTCGTAGAATTTTGACAATTTTGCAAAGGAATAAGATACTTTTGAATGCTTAATAATGAGTAATCATTTATATCATTGTTGTGTTGTGCCTGATTACAAAAATACGAGCATAAGAACGGCGGGGAAGTTATGGATTAAAGTGACGACATATTTAAATATGATAAATACACCAGTTAAACTGGCAAGAAGAGACCCGAAGGCATTGTCTACAAAATCTAAACTATACTTCTGTGAAGATCACTTTGATGTAAGAATAACTTATAGTTAACCATCGATTAAACACAACAAAACATCATCACATGATAGGTACCTATTGCAAGTCAAATTTTGTAATAGATTAGGTTAATCGCTCGTCTGTCCTGCCCTTTGTGGACCATTTTGATAGCCCTTGCAAGTGCAGTGAAGTGTTTTACTTAATTCCTGTTTTCTTCTATTATATGGGAATAAAGATATGGTTTGTACTTAGACCAAATAAAAAAGTGACTTTTTATTTCGTCTGAGTGTTTGTACAAAAAAATATAATAAAAAGTTTTTGTCACCTAAGCTTATATTATAATATCTACTAGCTTCTGCCCGCGACTTCGTACGCAGAACAGAACAGAACAGAAACTTTTTTATTCAATATAGATTATAAATAATACTTATTGAAAGTCACTCTTTTGTTTGATTACCACTGGTTCGGAAAAAACCTCTGTCCTGGGAAGAACCAGCAAGAAACCCAGCGGGACTTTTTTTTAAATAACAGCGTACAATCATGATGTTACACAAATTAACAACACAACAAATTAGAAATAGCTTGGTAGCGATCACCTCATTTCCAGGGGTTATTATCATCCATAAATTCCTTAATATTATAATAACCCTTTTTATACAAACTTAGTTTAATAAAGTTTTTGAACTTTGAACAGATCAAACTTTGTATATTTTCTGGAATTTTGTTGTAAAAGCGTATACATCGCCCCAAGAATGAATTACTGACTCGATGGAGTCGAGTAACTGGTACTACTAGCTTGTGTCTGTTCCTAGTATTTACAGAATGAATATCACTTATTTTTGTAAAACTACTTTTATTTTTGTGTACGTACATTACATTTTCATAAATGTATTGAGAGACCAAAGTTAATATATTAATTTCCTTAAATTTTTGTCGCAGCGACTTTTTAGGCTTTAAATCATAAATTGCTCTTATGGCCCTCTTCTGCAAAACAAATATAATTTCAGTGTCAGCTGCGTGTCCCCATAGCAAAATACCATACGACATTATGCTATGGAAGTAGCTGAAGTAAACTAGTCTAGCTGTTTCAACACTGGTTAGACTTCTAATCTTTTTTACAGCATATGCTGCAGAACTAAGTCTGCTTGCTAGTTTTGATATATGGGGGCTCCATTGAAGCTTCGCGTCTAGTGTGATTCCAAGAAAAATGGTGGTATCTACAAGACTCAGTTTCTCCCCATTTAAAATTACATTAGTATTTAATTGTTTGACATTTGGAGTCACGAATTTCATACATTTTGTTTTAGTGCCATTTAAATGCAAATTATTAACATCGAACCAATTTACTAATTTAGATATAGCATTATTTACTTCGTCATATTTTAGTAATTGTCGACTTAATTTGAAAATTAAAGAAGTGTCATCTGCAAATAATACTATATCATGGTTATCCCCTACTATGTAAGGTAAGTCATTAATGTATACAAGAAACAGAAAGGGGCCGAGAATTGAGCCTTGAGGTACGCCCATTTGTACCATCGATCCGGAAGAGCTCATATTGTTAATGACAACTTTTTGCGTTCTCTTACTTAAATATGAAATAATTAATTTAAGAGCATCACTTCTTACACCGTAGTGTTGAAGTTTCCTGATTAATGTTTCATGGTGAACACAATCGAAGGCCTTGGATAGGTCACAAAATATACCCAAAGCATCCTGTGAATTCTCCCATGCATTAAAGATATATTTAATCAACTCAACACCGACATCAGTTGTCGAGCGACCCCTTGTGAAACCAAATTGATTTTTATGAAGTAAATTATTTATATTAAAAAAAATTAACATTTGATCAAGAACAATTTTTTCAAAAATCTTACTAAGTGTTGGTAGTACAGAAATAGGTCTAAAATTGGCGGGGTCTAATGTACTACCAGATTTAAATAAAGGTATTACTTTACTATGCTTCATTAAATCAGGAAACACACCAGATTCGATACTAGTATTAAAAATAATAGCTAAATGAGGCGCGATTGTATCTATTATAGACGCAATAACTTTAACGGAAATCCCCCACAGATCCGCAGTTTTCTTAACATCAATAGTTTTAAAATATTTTACAATATCCTTTGAAGACACTTTATGAAATGTAAAATTCTTTGTACACATATTTACATTTTGTTTAAGTAATGATTCGGCGACGGCAGTAGAAGAATTCAGTGACTTAGTGGTCAAGATCGGAATATCAGTAAAATATTTCTCAAAAACCATTGCTACGTCCTGATCTGATACAGTTAATTTGTTGTTAACACTTAACTGGTAATTTGAATTGCGAGAGTTGATCTTACCAGTTTCGCTATTAATTATACTCCATGTCATTTTAATTTTATTGGAAGCCGTCTTAATTTTGTTGCTCAAATGCAAAGACTTGGCTATGGAGCACACTCTTTTAAATATTTTTGAATATTTTTTTACATATTCCCTAAATTCGACGCTATGATTATATGACCTTTCATGGTAAAGATCATATAACCTATGCCTGCTCTTATGGACTCCTACTGTCGCCCATTCATTGAATGACTTCCGACTGTTCAAGGAGAATGTTTTAGAAGTAAAAGTATTATTAAATTCATTGCAAATAAGCTTAAATAATGTTCCATACAAAAAATTAGGATCATTTTGGTATGAAAGTGATGGAAGTTTTTTCACTATGTTACTTCTGAATTTCTCCAAGCGAC